GCTGCTGGCCGCTCACGCTGGCTGCTAGCCGCTCACGCTGGCTGCTGGCTACACACGGTAGCCCATGGCAACCTACCTGCCTTCGCTGGCGACTCACGGTAGCCCAGCTCCAGGTGGAGCTGTTGTTCAGCGTGTTAGCTGTAGAGGGCAGTGTCACTGGCCCTCTTATATGGGATCCGAAACGGGGCTCTCTGGCATCCCAAGCCAGCTCTTAACCAATGCGCCACTCGGCCGGCCCTACAATAGATCTTAATGGAAATCATTGGGGTTGGTTAGCCCATCTGAAAACAAATGCACAGTTTTAGACATAATCACCCATGCTATTGTGTACTGTTATTGAAATCATAGAAGCTGACATACTGATGATGATGGGGCAGTTTTTTCTCTTAACTTTATAGACATGTGATGGTCTCTTAGTGATTTATAGACTCTGAAACTTCTCTCCTGGGATTTAATAGTCTCATTCACTGTAACACATAGAATTACTATGAGTTCCAAAGGATAACTTTGGATTGTCAATTATTTATGCTAGGAGAGCTGGGCAAGTAATATAAATGAATCAATAGTTGATTGAAGTGGAGTGGATAAAAAAGATAGCAGGGAGTGATGGGGACTGTGATGAGCTCATGTTCCATTTTTAGGGATGAGAGTAGGCTCCAGCCTATTGTTGCCATAAGTTGTCAGGTCTTCTAATTTCTCTAAAGACACTGGAAATCTAAATTTTTAGGTGAAACTTCCCAATTTTAGGGTGAAATCTCCCAAAGAAAACATGTCAGTGTGAATGCAGCCTCCTGAGGGTTACCTGTTTACTCTCTGTGCTTTTGAATCTACCCTTATTTAATTAACCAAGGATAATTCCCTTAGGATGAATTCATAAGAACAAGGTTTTCCCCCTCCTCAAACTAGTCCCATGGGTTGCTGGAATTGCATTTGAGACTATGCCAGCTTTCCTTTCACTGAACTGCAGACCCAGTTTTAATCTAATTTTCAGAAGCAAACTGGTGTTGGGCATAGTTATTCTATCTATACATTGAATTGGCTGTAGGACATCATTTTGTCAGTGAGTTTAAGGCAGCATGACCTGTAAAGCTATATGACTTGTAAGTTTCTCTGCAAATATTGAGCTTTTACTGAAGCACTTTTCTGTAAGGGAGTATCTCTGACTACATATGATTTAAACATGATGGAATTCTTTATTTTGGTACTTTTTTTTTTACCCTTCCATTAATTAATTTTTCTTTATATTATAGGCATATAGTTGGCAAGAGAGGAGATACTAGGAAGAAACTAGAAGTGGAGACCAAAACTTCTATTAGTATTCCTAAGCCTGGACAAGAAGGAGAAATTGGTGAGACCCAGTGTATACTATACGTTGTATTTGCAATCTCTTTTGCATGTGTATGGAATAATGTAACCCAATCGAGGTGTTTAGTGACTATATTCCTTATAGGGTTCTGTGGCTATTGGCCTTTTTATGATATGTGAGTATCAATCTCCCAGATGACAAAAGATGTAGTTATTTGTACCTTGCTTGATTGAGTACTTGGGCCTTCATTTTATGCTTTACCATGCACAGATGGGATAATGTTTCCAGATTTCGTTGTATACCGAAAGAAAAAGGAGTTTTCTTTTATGCTTTAGTGATGGAGTTAGTGAATTGTTTCAAGTTAGAATTAGAGAAAACCAATGAGATCTGCGAATTTGAAATAAAGTTCTGTCCTTTCCCTAAATGTTCTCCTGTTTTTACCTTGCTTTGTAGACTGGGAAGGAAATTATAAGAGTAATGATTAAAATAATCTGATTCAGATAACTGCTCAGGGAGGAAAAATAGTTTGGCAATACAAATCAAGTCAGAGAGTGACTGTACCTAGTCCCCGCTTATCTGAGGGAGAATATATTCCAAGACCCCCAGTGGATTCCTGAAACCTTGAATAGTACCAAATCCTATATGTATTGTTTTTTCTTATACATACATACCTATTGTAGTTTAATTTATAAAGTAGGCACAGTAAGAGATTAAGAACAATAATAATAAAATAGAACATTTATAACAATATACTGTAATATAATTATGTGAATGTGAAAAAAAAAAAAAAAGAAAGTGACTGTACCAAGCATCCATGTGAACCAAGCGCACAGGCTTGTGTTGTAAAGTGGCTTTGAGTGAGGGGCACTGTAGGGAGAAAATTCTAAAAAACTCATCCTAAAACTAGAGGGCTTCTTCAAAGTCAAATATGGGCAGCAACCTCCAACAATCCATTTTCCGTAAACACCCATAGGTTATATTAAGTTTTAGGAGAAAAGAGTTACAAGCATTCTTCTTCTTTTGTGCTATGTAAGAATTTCAATTGCTGTGACAGACAAGTAGCAGTTGACTTCAGAGCAGTGCTGTCCAAAGGAACTTTCTGTGGTGACAAGAATGTTCCAAGTCTGCACTGCCCAGTTATAGGAGCCACTAGCCACATGTGACTGTGAGTACTTGAAATGTGTCTAGTGTGACTGAGGAATTGAATTTTTAATTCTATTTAATTCTAATTAATTTGACTTTTAGTTTAACTAACTGCATCTGAGCTCCTGCATTGGACAGCGCCTTTCCTTAAACTTTAAAGTTCAGGTTACAAATATTGAAGTAATTTTATAATTGCATCTAAGCTTACTTTTCTAGTTGTTTGCTGATTATAGAATTAATACATGCTTTCGAAAAAAATGGAAGCTTGCAGAAATTATATACAAGGTATAAAGGGAAGTCTCTTGTAACATGAGCCCCAGACATAATTGCTATTAACGGTTGAATATGTTCCCTATTTTTTCTATCCATATACAATAGTAACATATACGAGTAATAATTTTCGTAACATGGTATAAATGTAGAGACCTTAGCCATTTTAAAATTTATCCAGAAAAGGGTAGGCGGGTTGTAAAGATTTGATTTCAATTTAGAACGCACAGATATTTCAGTGTGAAAAATGAGTGTGTCTAATCATTTAAGAATTTACTAGAACTAATTTAATTGAAAAACAAGGATAAACTGGCTTGCTGCTCTTGTAGGGAAGTAGTATATGGAAAAAAATAAAATTGATTGGTTAGAATAAATTGAGTTGTGATATGAAATCAAGACTGCAGTTGCTGTCTTTTGGTGTGGTTTTTGCTGTCATTTATTCGTTTTCTTCTGCATTTCCTTAGTTAGAGAAACTAGAGAAGGTAATACCTAGAAGGTTTTAAATTTGTCCTCTGGATAAGAATCTGTTCTAGTCTGTTTTGAAGTCTCACACAATGGGATATCGGAAGGAGCTTTAAAATAATTGTTATTGTAATTAGAGAATTGTGTTTCTTTTAAAGTTTAATTTCAATACCTTCAATTGTTTTCTTCCTGTGTATCCCATGCTTTAGTCCTTAGACCCATGTCATGTAAATTCTGGTCCTCTCAGGTATTTGTAGATGTAGAATATTTCTATCCTCATTACATTTGCATTTTAGTCATTATTTGATCAGCTTTGAATCTTTTCTGGTAATCAGTCTGTCTGAGCACCTTTCAAGTGTCCTTTTCAGTTTACTGTGTTACAAAAATAAAAACATCTTATTTTCTATCAAACCACCTTCTTAATGAAAAAGAACAGATTTAGCATTTTGTGCCAAACTTTTATAGAAATAAAACATAAACGTGAGTTATAAACCCCCCCTCCTCCACCCCGTTCCTTTAAGTTTCTCACCAAATTTTTGATCTCTGGCAGAGATAATTATAATTTCTACTTACCTATAATTTTGTCCCAGTTTACCTTTGAACCCTCCTTATCAGTATTTCTCCAACACCATATTTGAGTGCCTGTTATGGATACTTCCTTTCACTGGGCATTCGAGTCTTTTGGACTTTCAAAGTATTCTATCTGTTAATATAAGTAATGTCATTAGAAAACATTGTATCTCTACTCCTTACAATTTTTGGTTATTATGTCTGTTTTTTACTTAGGTAGACAGTTCTCAGGCTTTCTGTTAATCCATTCATTCATAATTCGTTTTCTAGCTATTTCCATGTTGTTTCTTTACAGCAAAATGGTTATAACACTTCCTTATTAAGAAACAGAAAGGCTGGGCCAGCTGAGTGGCACGTTGGTTAAGAGTTGGGTTGGGACTCTAGCTCTGAGCAGCAGGGCCCTGGTTCGGATGCCACATGAGGGCCAGTGATGCTGCGCCCTCTACAGCTAAGATGGTGAACAACAGCTCGACTTGGAGCTGGGCTGCCATGAGTTGCTGGCGACGGCATAGGTTGCAGTGGGGTTGGCCGGCAGCTGGTGTGCGCTTTTGTGAGCTGCCGTGAGCCGCCATGAGTGGCTGCCCAATTACTGGCGAGCATCTGCCTCACTTGGGAAGAGCGCAACGATAATACCGACATGGGCCAGTGAAGCGACGTCCTCCACAACTAGACTGAGGAACAAAAAGGACAGCAACTTGTCTGTTCCCCTCCCCCAATTTCCCAATAAAAGAAAAAAAAGAAACAAAAAGAAACAAAGGTTGTTCTTATAGAAAATTTCAAGTGCTTTAATGGAAAGTATTAGGACAAATAAATGGAATTATTTAATTTCTGCAGTTGCCTAGAAGACACTAGCTTGTGGTCTTTAAAGTACATAGCACATTTTACTACTATTATAGTTAATACTTCAGTGTTTTTATCATATTCAGAAGTCTGTCCGTAACTCTTTTTTTTTTAAGATTTTATTGGGGAATTGGGGGAGGGGAACAGTGTTGGGGAATTGGGGAGGGGGATCAGCCAAGTTATTGTTCAGTCTTCATTGTGGAGGGCTCCAGTCGCCATCTGGCTTCCCGTTGGCAGCTCGTGGCTTCTAAGCACAAGGTGCTGTGTTTAATCTTAGTTGCGGGTGGGCATAGCCACCATCCCTTGCAGGAGTGGAACCAGCAGCCTTGTTGTTAAGAGCACACTCACTATTCTCTGAGCCATCTGGGCAGCAGCTCAGCTCAGGGTGCCGAGTTCAGTCTTAGTTGCGGGTGGGCATAGCCACCATCCCATGCAGGACTTGAGCCTGTCCTTAACTCTTTAATAGTCGTTGAAATGCCAGTTTTGTTCATTGTTCCTATCTTCTGTACCTTTCCAGTTCTGGAACCTAGGGGTTTAATCTCTGTTTAAACAGAGATTGTGTAATCCCTAAATGGTTTTGTTTCTTTGTAGACAATGGCCTATGTTCTTATGGCTTCCCCCCACTTTCATTTATATATACAAAAGAACAGCCCAGATCAAAGAAGGCCAAATTATACCAAAACATGGAAATTTAGTATTCATACATATAATATAAACATTTTAACTTTAGCTTTCTATTTTCATATGTATAGGATTGTATGTATTGTAGTAAACTCTCCTTTGCTTTTTTACTATAGTGAATCACTAATAATTTTTGCCATACTAATTTTTTTGAGGTAAAATTCACATAACAGAATTAAATTTTTTGCTCTTAATTTTTTTATTATATGAATTTCTATGTGATGTATTTTTTTTATTGTGGTAAAAGATACACAGCATAAAATTTACAATTTTGACCATTTTAAAGTGTTGAATTCAGTGGCATTTAGTACATTTACAATGATGTGCAACCGTCACTACTAGTTCTAGAACTTTTTTTTTTTTTTAAGCTGAGCCATCCTGCCACCTGTTGGCAGCTCAGCTCAGGCTGGGAATCGAACCGGCGACCCTGTTACTCAGAGCTCGCATTCTTGAGCGAGCTCTTAACCAACTGAGCCACTCGGCTGGCCCCTAGTTCTAGAACATTTTTATCACCTCAAAAGGAAACCCCGTGCCCATTAAGCAGTCACTCCTCATTCCTTCCTACTTCCAGTCCTTGGCTACCATTAACCTGCTTTTTGTCTCTATGAATTTGCCTGTTCTGGATATTTCCTATAAATGGAAGCATACAATATGTGGCCTTTATTGCCTGTAGTCTTTTACTTAGCATAATGTTTTCCAGATTCATCCATATTTTTGCATATATCAGTACTTCATTCCTTTTTTTTGTTTTTGTTTTTAAGATTTTATTGGGGACTTAGGGGAGGGGAACAGACAAGTTGCTGTCCTTTTGTACTTAGTCTCGTTGCAGAGGACGCTGCCTCACTGGCCCATGTTGGTATCATCATTGCACTCTTCCCAGGTGAGGCAGATCGGTCGGTAGTCTCTGGATGGCTGCTCATGGTGGCTCTTGGCAGCTCACACCGGCTGCTGGCTGCACACGCTGGCTGCCGGCCACACACGGTAGCTTATGGCAGCCCACTGGAGCAGGGGCTGCAGCCTACGCTGTCGCCGGCAACTCACGGCAGCCCAGCTCCAGGTTGAGCTGTTGTTCAGCA